GTGGTTTTCTTTTTTTTCGTGGTGTACATAATTTTATTATTTATTAATTACAATTTTATTAATTAGAAGAATTATTTATTATAAACCTTTTTGTTGCAACTATACACAGTGTTGCCAACTTAGCCCTTTCACGGCTAAATCTAGCCCTTTTCTTCTCGCCTTGTCCTTGGTAAATTAGCCAATAAACCCAAATCTAGCCTTAAAATCTGAAAAATGACTTAAATTACTCAAATTGCTAGAAATAAAAAAAAAAATTGTTTGGTTAAGTTTAAGGCCGTTAAACAGAAACGATGTCTTATCTGTCTTCACGCCAAATACTTCGCGGGGTAGACAGAGAAAACAGACTGCCAAAGGCGTCTATCCGTACAATACATGTTATGACTCCTGTACCTTCCTAACTAGTTCTATTCATATTCTGAAGAATCTTGACTCTTCCCTCATACAGAATAAGAGCTTATCAATGTCCTTGTAAAATTTATTCATGAAAACCTATCCTCGATTCTGGAATTTACTTAATCATTCAACTAAAACATAGCTAGTTATCATTTTGGCTCAATTTTCAAAATTTTAGACTAGTCTAGCCCATTTTTTAAACTGATTTACTCCTACACCATCATTTACCAAAAAACATTTTTCTTTACAACACGGGACAAACGAGCATGCGGCTCACCTGATGGTAAGTGACTACCGCCGCCCATGATCACCCACAACACCAACGGCATTGCAGGTGTGCTGCCGGCCTTTTAAATTGTATCAAGTCCCGATACCTCTATTTCTCCTGCCACCAATCAACAAACTATGTCACAGTTTATAACTGAAACTGTCTAATTAGATATCACTAACTTGATTATAATCTGTTTCAAATTATTTAACATAATTAAGACCTAATGATGATGATGATATTAACCGTTAAGTGTCCACTACTGAAGATAGGCCTCTCCCTTGACGGGGTTTTGTCAATAGACACTACGCTTATCAGGTGTGTTAGCAACCGCAATCAGGCCTTGGTGATGTTTTAAGAGGGTTGTGGTTTTTTTTTTTTTGGTGGATGAAAATGGTATGGTAACCCCGCTGCGCTAACGGGATACGCTGGCGGAGCACCGGTGAAGGGTGATAGATGAGAATGAAAACAGGCCAGTTAGCCCATCATGATGAATTCATCAGGAATTAACCATGATAGTTTCCAGGGGGAACCGAGAGGAGGTCGACCTAGTTGAATATATTGTTGGCAATGGGATTCTTAGTCTTCATTACTAACAATCCCTTTCCCCCCAGAGGGATGTGGTTGCCCCATTCCATGATCATTAAGTTCCCATACTCGACTCTTATGTAATCTAGAGGAAAGAAAGGGGTGGCCCTAATGCTATAGTTCAATAGATATATTTTTTAAGAGAAACCAAACAAACTCTGTGGGGGGGGGGAGAGGGGAGAGGATTGCCAGTAATGGGTACATACTACCAGTCGCTATAGTAGCAGTTGTCATGCCCTTTAAACCCAACATTAACGGGGAAGGACTCGTTAGTAAAGCCGCCTACTAGTCCCATCGCTAGCAATATATTCTGTCAGGTCAACCTCCATGTGGACCCCCCTGGAAACCATCGTGCTAAATTTCAGGTGTATTCATCATGATGAGCTAACTGATCTGCCTTTTCATTCTTACCTATCATCATCCATAAAAGAAAAATAAATATATTTTAGGGTTACAAATTGTTTATTCACATTTCTGAAGTTATCTAATCTAACTTGCTGGAGTTTTGTCAGATGACCACAATGTTTATATTTAAATATTTACCATATGAATGTTATTTCTTTTATTGTTATGTATTTATATTAATATTAGTTGTTTTAATTATATAGTTTTTTTTATTATTATTATTATACTGATGCTTTGCTGGGTGAGCCTATTGGAAGACTGTAAAGCTCACTCAATTGAGCAAATATATAAATAAATAAATATTACAAAGAATTACTTTTGTTTGGATTAAATAAATTTGAAAAAAATACTCAACCAATTAAAAAAAACTTTCACCTACAAAAAACTACATCATCAGTTTTTAACAGTTTTATCGATTGGTAGTAGCTTTATTTTCAAAAATCCTGTATGGGAAGTCATGGTGGATCTCTTATTTGTAATATACCTGGAGTACATAAAATTCTTTATCTATCTAGTGATCAACTTCCAGATCATCACTAGACAGTGAATTTGTTTTACTCTTGATTGATTGACACTTGGGCACCATTCCTTAACCCTATCATTAAAATTAATATTTTAATTTGAGTACTGTTTTATATGCCACCATAAACTAAATTATGTAAATATTTAATATTGTTTTTTAGATTTCTCTTTTGCACTATTGCTGCCCACTCTCTACTTCCTATGCCACTGTGTTAGGTTGACTGGAGGAGATCTTTTTTAGAGATAAGTTCACTTTTGCTTACATTGCTAGTAATTGTTATTATTGTATGTTTTAGACTCTATTTTTTTTTATTATATATATATATATATATATATATATATATATATATATATATATATATATATATATATATATATATATATATATATATATATATATATACACATACAGAAATTTTGTTGATATTAGTCCTTAAAATAAAAATTTCCTTGTGATATTAAATTTAAATTTTTGAGATACATTTAGAGCAGGGCAGCACCTAGACCCAAGTTTTCAAGAGGGCAAAACAACTTTTTGGTAGAACAGAAGCCATAATTAAGCATGACTTCGAAAAAATTAATCTGTCTAATTTTCTCCGGGCCTTTTATGATAGGCCATTGTTCCACAATGCCCTCACCCCTAGCTACAGCCACGATTTAGAGTAATGATGCTTCAGTATCAACATCATCAGTTACAAGAGAGAAACAAGTTTAATGAAATTATTATCACATTATCAACATCCCTACAGGACACAGATGTTACAATGTTGAATTTAAAAAAAATAAAACTTTGTCATAAGAATTTTCCATTATCCCATATAACTAAGCTATTAAAAACAACCCTAGGATATTGAAGCAAAAGTTCCATTTTCATTGTTGACACAATTTCATTGACATTTCAAATCTATCCATACAACAACATCATTAAACCAAATTCAACTTTGTTATCTATCAATTGGGACTATGCACGTACAGACAAGCAATATTTATATGTTATATGTAGTATGATATAAGTACTTATTTATACAATATTCCCAAAAATGTGCATAATTTTATAATTTCAATATGAAATGTCTGAACAGATATGGATGTATGGGGTATGATTGGAATCCTCACATCATCCTAGTATTATTTTTTTAAATAGTTTTTTTTTTTTTTAATTATAGAAAGATCTTTAATACCAAGTTGATCACATTTATTTATTTCTTTTATACTTTTATATATGTTTCACCATCTCACCAACCTATCAACACAGGGGGAGGGGATTGTTACTAACAGGTACTAGATTAATTAACCTGGAAGTGTATACTGAAATTAGAAATTAACCGTGATAGTTTACAAAGGGTCTGAAAGGGTATATGAGATATAAATTCAGCTAAGTTCCCTAACAATCATTTTTATTTATTTATTTAGTTATATTGTCAGAAATGGTGGTCCCATTTCTAGCAATACGGTATGTCAGCCCCTCTGTAAACTATCATGGTTCATCACCTGCCCTGTAAGGTCAATTTCCATGGGGATCCTGGTGAATTCATCAAGATAGACTAATTGACCTGACTTCAGTCGTATATATAGTCTCAGTGGGGTCTTGCCTAAGCTAAGTATATGCCAGTTATCACTCCATTATTATTCATAAAAAAAGTCATTAATACCTCAATGATGGCTTGAAATATTTGTCTATGATGACCATGCTGGCTATAGCATGGGATTTTTATGGCAACTTAGCATAGATTTTTCTCTTAATTCTGAATTTCTAGGGAATTTTATTGTATCATCTTCTTTTTTAATCAATCAATCATACAATCAATAATTTATTTATGTTATAGATTAGGACATTAGGATATCTGTTTTTATTTGTACCCAGTACTTCTATTTTATTTAAAAAAAAAAAGTAAAAAAAATCACTTAAAACTATCCATCCTCATCTATTACATATTATAAGTTTTTTTTATTTTTTCTCTTGACAGGAACAATAGATTTTTTATTTAGTCACTCAAGCTCAGCCCATGTTTGTTGCATGGTGGGCAGAAAGAACAAAATGCCCAAGATCTCTATAGTTACTACTAATAAAGTTGTTATGCTATTATAAAACTTGGTTTGCACTTTTTATTTTCTTATATTCTAAATTATACAATTACTGACTTTATAAATCATAATCTAGAATTCAGGAAGTTAATTATTAATATTGTATATTTTTATTTTTAAATATCACTGAAAACTATATTTTTTTAGACACACAAACAGATATGAATAAATATCAAAATAAAAATATGTGTTGAAAGCAGCAGAGAGAACAATTATATATATTTAAATAAAGAATCAGAAAAAGTAAACTTAATGGCACATGGACTGGCAGGTAGCTGGGTATTGTATTTGTCATAGAGAACTATATATTTTTTCACATCATAACCATAAAAGAGCTTGAGTAGCTTCAGATTCTGCCATACAGGAAATATGATGGTGTGTTGTTTATCTCATATTTCATGTAAAATAAGTAAGAATATAAATGAATTAAATGTGTACTGTAATGCATCACAGGTATTTTTATTAGCCTGTATAGAGGGCATGCCTTAGCCTACTTCCATGGAAAGGGACAAATACATTACTAAATACAAGGTCTTTTGTAAACTAATCTAATAGATACGTAATGCCGTTTTTGATTTGTTTCAAGGTTATAAAATTGTTTTGTTAGATGAATACCATTCTAATGTGTAATAGACGAATGCCCTTTACCAGGTTAAATTTGGATAACCTAGTTTGCAGTTAAAATTTGATCGTGACCCGTGGGGTCGTTCTAGAAAGGCATTTGAACGCTTCTACTTACAACTGTGTGTGCTCAGCTCGTGCGGACTCGCGGCTCCACTGCCAGTATCCAGGCGCTAGCCGTTTTGTTTCCAACCAGTAAAAAAACATTCCCATGACATCCGTTTCACTAAAACACAATTCTATCGTACACTTTCACGAGCGGAATGCACTTAACACAACTACGAAACAAACAAATAGAAAACACTCACAAACAAACAATTTAAATATCACAGAAGTCAATGGTCGCAAGATCTCACAATTCCTTACCGCTAACCCATATTCGGGTACTGTATTACTGTCTAATGAACGGAATTATTAGCAATTTACGGCACCGCGCTCCACGTACGTTCGCCCGCTGTGAAAATTTTTATGTTTTTCGAAAGCGCCTAGACGCCCCGCCGTGGACCTTTCGAAAAAGTACAAAATACAATCGCGCGCTAAATAGGAAAATCGATAAGGTCTTTGGATCGTCGCCGTATCGAAAGTAGAATAATAATTTATCAAAAAATGTAATAAAAACGACATTATTTCTTGTGACGGTTTCGAGCTGTCAGAATTTTCTATGCACTAACCGACCTGTTTGGAAAACTGCTCGGTGCGATACGCGAATGCCATTGCAGTATGACCTTTTAACTCGGCCGGATAGCATCGGTTGCTAAGCAAGACTCGACCCTAGAGACGTGACCACTTACGACTTTCCTATTTGGCGCTAATCGCGAAAAATACGAAACGGATACGAATTTGTTTGTAAAACTTACTACGGCCAGTAATCAGTCGATTGGAAAATTCCAAATAATAAGTAGCGAGCGAGCGCGCGGTGTCCGTAGAAAGAAACGCGAGACACTGTTTTCGAAACAACATTGGCTCGACGTCATTTTTGGCGTATTTTGAGTTGGATCGTGAACGGGAAAACTCGAAAGCGTTCGGTTGCGCGAACGAGACGGATGTTTGTTCAGTACGAAGGATATTGGACTTTATTGCACAGTGTTTCATACATTTTCGTTGAATAATCGTTTAATGTTATTTCAAAGTGTGTGAAGCCGTACTATTTTGAAGTTTTTTTCTATAAGTATAGATAGGCTAGAGAGGAGAACGGCTGTTTTTCTATGTAAAAATGTGTTTGTGTGCGCGACTTCCCGTATGTGTAGTTATCGTGTGGATAAATTTTATTACTGTAGTGTGCGTTTTTGTATTACTGCTGAGTTATATAAAAAATGTATAGGTGGTTGGTTGGGCTGGCCTTACGGAATCAATAATCTAAAAATTCATTTTATATTTTTGAGCAAGTCACTGCTATGATTATAGTAGGTACCAACGTCTGTTCATAATTTAACGTGGAGTGAAGAACTTAACGTTAATACTTACCTACTTAACTACTTACTTCCTATCTGTTTGTGAACTACTGGAAGAAATGGAATGCATGAACAAGTTTTTGTTTAGTTTTCTTTGTAATTGTAAGCAGTAATTTGTTGACATGTGATTACCTAAATAAGTTGTAATGATGTAGATATATATGTTCTTGGTCTATATTACGACATGACCATTTAGTACACTAATTAGAGAGCTCTGTACCTATTTAGTTAAGCATGTAGGTATCTAGGTGCCTATGTAGGTATTTATCGTTTAATTACTTACATAGAACAGATAGGTTTTTCTGTTCTGTAGTTTATTTTCTTAGAAATTTAACTAACTTTCAGATGATGGTAAACATCATTAACAAGCTTAAATTAGTTTGAGCAGGAGACAGCGATATATATACAAGACAACTGACAAAAGAAGGCGCACTTTCATGTTTTTTTTTTTAACTTTTTTCTGTTCGGAAATTGTAATAACGTTTAAAATGACAGTTTTTTTTTTAAAAAAGGAGAGTGTAGAGGGAATTAAACAATGATATTTTACTATTAAACTGGTGTTCCAGCAACAGACAGTGGTGCTAATTCTAAGTTGCGATTTCTCTAAACTAGTTTCTTAACCTATAATATTATAATTTGATCAGTTCTCGAAATTACTGTTTTATGGACTTATCTTAAACTAAATTTATAATAATTTTGACGTAAATCTATTAGAATATTAGTTCATATTGCTCCTTATAATGAAGATTTCTCTATGATATCAAATTAAAATTTTAATTTTTTAAATAGATTTAGAGAAATAGCGCCTCAGAATCGACTCAATGTAGTGTGACCAACTTTTATTGTAATCATTGACTGTCCGAAAAAAACAATAGTCAGGTGTCAAATGACCTACAAAGAGTGAAAGAAATAATCAATATTTTTTTTTGTAGGATTAAATTAGTGTGGTATGCCTACGCTGCCGTGTGCCTAACCGTGTGGTCCCAACATAGATAGACCACCGCTTCTTTTCCCGTGGGTATTATAGGAGGCGACTAAGGAAACTTAATGGTCGAGGGATGAGCAGCAGCGTCGATCTTTAAACATTTCCAAAGCTTAACTGTGATTGCCAACGCGCCTGCCAAACGTGGCAACTACTGGCAAAACCAGATACAGAGGAGGTCTTTTCTTTTTTTGATGGGTGAAAATGGTATGGTAACCCCGCCTGCGCTAACGGGATACGCTGGCGGAGCACCAGTGAAGGGTGATAGATGAGAATGAAAACAGGCCAGTTAGCCCATCATGATCAATTCATCGGGAATTAACCATGATAGTTTCCAGGGGGAACCGCGAGGAGGTCGACCTGGTTGGGTATATTGCTAGCAGTCGGATTCTCAGTCTCCATTACTAACAATCCCTTTCCCCCGGTCAGTTAATTTTATTATAATGATGATAGCTATACTGACGCTGTACCTATTTATTAAGGAATAGAATGGTCAAGACTTATCATCAGGTGAACCTCATATTTATTCAGCCCACAGACAGGTAATTCTTATTATACCCACTGAGTCGAATGAAATGCCAAATAATCGACTATCATATGAGGTCATCTCGCTGCTGCTAGTACTGTTACTAATTCTATCACTAGCTTTGCACTGGTTTTGAAAAGTAGAAAAATCAATTATATAGAGCACATTTAAATGGCGTATCAAAATAAAACATATATTAATCTTTAAGGTAAAGCTTCAGGAATACAACAGTGAAAACCGCATTCAATTTGGTGTAGTAGTTTTTGTGTAATGCTGGCATATACATATATAATTTACCAGAGGGAGACTTTGTACAAAAGTCGATTGCTTGGGTACCTCTGTCTCATTTGTGTTTCAGCCGTAAAGCAGTTGTGTGTGCATAGCTGTTTCGGTTTGAAGGGTGGGATATGGCGTGAATTTACTGGGTACGGAGGAATAACACCTGAGTCCTCAGGAATGGCAACGCATGGGGGTTATCATGGGCGAAACAGTATACTCTGTTATGTTCATGGTACTGCATGTCTATTGGCGATGGTTGCCACTTTCCATCAGGTGGGCCATCAGCTAGTTTGCCATTCTTAGTTGCATAAAAAAAATATTGTTTTGACTTCGATTATTCCTACAAAAACCTCGCACATAAATTTTGTTTTTAATTTTTTTTAACTAGTAGGTTTTATTTAAATTTCGAACTGGATAACAAATAGAAAGCTGTTTAGTAAAAAAAAAAAAACAAAGGAACATTATGGTGCGCGAAAAATTATTATTGTTCATTATTCGTCATTGAACTTAAAAAGTAAAATTATGTTTTTGATTTCCGCGCATTGTTTGAGAAAAGTACTATACAAGCCTTGGCCACAACTAGGCATTGATGGACTCACATATGTGTGCCTCGGCTACGCTTCGGCCCACATTTGCACGTTCGTCCATCAATGCCTCAATTGCTGGACGCTGCAGTAATGTACTATTATTCAAATAGACTTGTTTACCAGCTCTTTTAAATTGTATTTTTTTTTTTAGATTCTCTAGCGGGTTCGGAATCTCGTTATTTGCTGAGAAGAAACCGTAAGAAACTGAAAAAGAATATTTCCTCTTTTCAACTCAATTATTTACAAGATAATTCTGTGTTTGTATGATTACTGAGTTTATATCCCCAGTAGGGGGAGGCCTATGTTCAATAAATGGATAATAGTTAGCTGGTAGAGAATTCCATATAGCATCAAGCTCGCCACTTGTACAAAGTTTTATACTGCAATAAAGAATAAATAAATAAATTAAAATAATAACTGAGATGACGACGATGAGAGATGTTTATCCATCTTCATCAACCTGTATTCGACTAAAAAAAAGGCTCTTTTGAAAGCAATGTGGTTATTTAATAGATAGTAATTCTTGTATCACTGAGCCGGTACCATCTTTGAGACTTTTTGGTAAATGTGGTAATCCAGATAGCAAAGACTACTACGTAGCTTCATAGAAGAAAGGGTTCAAGCTGTGCTGCATGATTCGCACGACTGATTCTAATGTAATACTACTAACCAGTTTTTAAGTTAGGTTAATATCAAGTACAATATAAAATTTAGTTAAAATCGATTCTGCAATTCTCTTGTGATTATGAAAGAAACGGACAGACATTCCGATTTGGAGTTCACCTTTCATTGCTCATTAACTAATAAAATTTAACCTTTTTAGATCATTTTTCCAACCGACTTCAGAAAAGGAGGAGATTCTCAGTTTGAACGTGTTTTTTAAGTTTGTTTGTTTTTACCTCAAAACTGTTATTTGTAAATTGATAAAAAAAAAACATTTTTTATCTGAAAGGATACAGTTACTTCCATATTGGTCGTACAGAATTAATAATTAAAATTGATTCAGAAGTAAAGCTAAAGTTTTTAATTAAAATTAACTTATTTTGCCTTATTTTTCTATTAAAATTGCTATTTTTGTTAAACAAAATCTCAAATTATTCTCGTATATTGTTCATGACCATAGGTGACGACTACCACTCTCCACTACATAGGCTGTCAGCTTGTTTTTTTTTTATACAACTTAGAATGGCAAACAAGCTGACGGCCCACCTGATGGAAAGTGGTATCCGTCGCCTATAGACATGAGCAGTACCATGGACATAACAGAGTATACTGTTTCGCCCATGATATCCCCCATGCGTTGCTCCTCTGTACCCAGTAAATTTACTTGTTTGCCATTGTAAATATCTTAATAATAATAATATATATATATATATATATATATATATATATATATATATATATATATATATATATATATATATAAAAATATATATATAAAAAACTGGATCAACCATTTTTAACGATGGAAAATCTACAAATAGATTAGACTTAATTCTAATTTGTACAACTTCATGGAAATCATCGTCTGGATGATTTCCAGATTTCGTCTGGATGGTTACTGCCGGATTCCTATTGGCTTCAGGCTTCCATGGTATTCTGCCGCTTCACCGATATCGACGCTACGCTGTTGCGTCCTATGTTTTTTTTTAATCGATGAAAATTGATGGTAACCCCACCTGCGCTATCAGTTAACGCTGGCGAGATACCAGTAAAGGATGATATGTAAGGTGTTAAGCAAATTAGTTGGCCCATCGTGATGAATTAATTAAACAATAATTACAATGGCTTCCAAGGGAAACCCCATTGGGACCGACTTGTTAGGGTATATGGGGTAGTTAGAGCCCATTACTAACAATCCCTTTCTCCCCGTCATAAGCTATTAAGTAATACTTACTGGTACTTAGGCGGTTTTTATTCTACATTCTTCAGCCATTTCTTTCTTATTGCATCCTATTAGGCATCGGCATAAGTTTT